AGACAAAGGGTGCATGCCAGCGTGCCTAGCTAGTTTTTTCTTTCCAAAGATTTTTTATAGAGATGGGGTCTCATCATGTTGCCCAGGCTAGTCTCGAACTCCCGGCCTCAATAAGTCCTCCCAGTTCAGCCTCCCAAAGCACTGGGATTAGAGGCATGAGTCACCATACCTGGCCAATATCCACTTTTTGTTTCATAATGAAACACCGTCCTATCTCTGATCTGGTTCTTCCCGGACTTTCCCTATGATATGGCATTTTTTCTATTCTGAAATGTCAGCAAAGTGGACCCTGATTATCACCCCTGCGAAGCTTGCTTGATGCCTTCAGATCCTGCCTCCCTGTTCTTCACCAGAGCTACCAACACTATTGAGACGAGTCATCTCCAGCCTACAGCGACCTCGAACTCTCTTGAGCCTTTGGTGAGGCATCATAGCATAATTGCTAAGAACATGGGCTCTGTAGCCAGACTGCCTGCATGTGAATGGCTTCCCCACTTAACAGCTGTCTAGCCTTGGGCAAGTTACTTAAACTCCCTATAATATGGCATTACATAATAACTGATGCTCATAAACATGACATGAACCATCAAGCAAAGTTTAAAATCTGCCCAGCATGTTCTGTTTAAGAAAATGAAAAATAAGTAACACATTCACAAATATTTGTATCTAAAAAAGTTTTCAAAATGGTGGTGCTTACTTCAAAGGCTTAGCTTTGATTATCTCAAAATGTAATTTAGAAAGGATGCATCACTTCCTGACACAATTGTACAACTGAAACATGACTATTAAAACTTTTGGGGAGGTTGGCCGGGTGCAGTGGCTCACGCCTGTAATCGCAACACTTTGGGAGGCCGAGGCGGGCAGATCACCTAAGGTCAGGAGTTCAAACTCAGCCTGGCCAACATGGCAAAAACCGGTCTCTACTAAAAATACAAAAAATTAGTCAGGTGTGGTGGTGGGCACCTGTAATCCCAGCTACTTGGGAAGCTGAAGCAGGAGAATTGCTTGAACTTGGGAGGTGGAGATTGCAGTGAGCCAAGATCACATGACTGCACTTCAGCCTGGGCAACAGAGTCAAGACTCTGTTTCAGAAAAGAAAAAGAAGAGATCAGAATCCAACAGCTCTCACATCTCCACCCAGCCATGCCAGTCTAAGCCTCCTCGTCTCTAACCTGGATTATTAACAGCCTCCTAACCAAGCTCTCCATTATCTCTTGCAGTTTTTCTCTCAACACAGCAGCCAGTGTGGTCTTTTTATAACAGGTCAGTCATGGCATTCCTCTATCCGAAATCCTCCAGCAGCTTCCCACCTCCTCCAGAGTCAATATCCAAGCCCTTTCAAGACCTTCAGGGCCTTTGAGAATCTACCTCGCAACACACACGCATATCCCACTCCAACTGCATCCCTGCTCCTCTCCTGAGCACTCGCTGAGCTCTGAATACCAGCCCCTCACGTGCTCCCACCTAAATGCCTATACCCTTGGGGTTTCTCCTGCCTGGAACTGTTTCCCTCAGACATCACACAACTCCCTGTCTCACATCTTTCAGCTCTTGGTGAGACATAGGTTATCAGTGAGGCCTTTCCTAATCACCTACTTAAAATAGCAATCTCACTCTCCCGGCTACACACACACACTCAGCCAGTTGACATACTCTCTGTCTGGTTCCCTCTGTAGGACTTAGACTTACCAGTTGCTGCATTTGCTCTCTCATTCTGTAGCTCCTTCCGTTAGAATATAATTTCCTAGAGGCAGAAATTAGATGTGTCTTGGGCACTGTGTTTCCAATATCTAGAACCATTTCTGGCACATTTGAGGTGCTGAACAAATGAACAAATGAATGAATGTATATCTGTGGTGCCGAAAGCAAGAACACCACTGAGGCTGAGCAAGGTGGCTCACACCTGTAATCCCAGCACTCAGGGAGACCCAGGCAGGAGGATCATTTGAGCCCAGGAGTTTGAGACCAGCCTGGGCAACATGGTGAGACCCCTGTCTCAACAAAAAAATACAAAAATTAGCCGGGTGTGGTGGTGTGCGCCTATAACCTCAGCTACTTGGGAGGCAGAGGTGGGAGGATCACTTCAACCCAGGAGGCAGAGATTGCAGTGAGGTCGGATCCATGGCACTGCATTCCTGCCAGGTCTACAGAGCAAGATTCTGTCTCAAAGTAAATAATAAATACAACAGAAAGGAAAAACAAAATAGGTCTTAAGCGAAGTTCTTACCCTTCAAGTTGAGTCTTGTAACAATAGAAGCAAGAAGTCCAGGCGAGGTGGCTCACCCCTGTTATTCCCGAACTTTGGGAGGCCAAAGCTGGTAGACCCCTGGAGGCCAGGAGTTTGAGGACAGCCTGGCCAACAAGGAGAAACCCCGTCTCTACAAAAAATTAAAGAATTAGCCTGGCATGGTGATGCACGCCTATAATTCCAGCTACTTGGGAGGCTGATGCACAAGAATTGCTTGAACGTGGGAAGCAGAAGTTGCAGTGAGATCATGCCACTGCACTACAGCCTGGGCGACAGAGTGAGACTCTGTACGAAAGGAAGGAAGGAATGAAGGAAGGAAAAAAGGGAGGGAAGGAGGGAGGGAGGGAGGGAAAAAATAGAAAGGAAAAGAAAAGAGAGAAAGAAAGAAACAAGGAGGGCGCTGGAAGGGTTTTAATCGACTGTCAAGTCTCCAAAGTCAAAATCAGGGTAACCATTTGGTTTCATTTTCTGTCTCATTCCCCTGCATAACTGAACTCTGACAACAGGATAGGAAGCCAAAGTACCTCACTCCTGGCTCCTCTCATCAATTCCAGCTCCATCCCTGAGCATCACCTGGAGCCTGAACAGCCCTGAGGGTAAACCCTAGCCAAGGCACCGCTCACACCACAAATTTAAAACCCATTGTTCTCTTTAGAAGAGAAAGTCATGCAATCTGGAAGAAAACTAGCATTCAAGAAGCCTCAGGCAAGCAGCTCTTTAGAAACAATTATCTCCTACAAACTGTAGATGAAACTTTTTTTTCCTTTCTACTTTTTGGCTCAAGAGCCTTTAAAAAAGTGACTTACTGTTGCCTAACAGGATTAAATTCTTAACTGAGGCATTTTTGTCTGAACCAGGCACTACCTTCTAATCCCCTCTGAGTCAGAATATAAGGAAAAGTTTCTATTTTGACTCAAAAAACACATTCTTAGAAGTCCCCACACCCTTTCACTCCTCAGAGCCTCCTTGCTGAATGGGGCAACCCCAAAATGAATTACCAACTGTGGCCTTGGGGAGAAAATTCTCAAAAGGACCTTCTCTCTCAATCCAGATCAACTCTTTATTTACCACTGACCTTGCCTTGAGCCTTGACTTTTTTCCTCTTGTCTTTTTTCTTTTATTGATTGATTGATTGATTTAGAGATGAAGTCTTGCTCTTGTTGCCCAGGCTAGAGTGCAGTGGCGCAATCTTGTCTCACTGCAACCTCCGCCTCCCAAGTTCAAGCGATTCTCCTGCTCGGCCTCCCTAGTAGCTGGAATTACAGGAACATGTTGCCATGCCTGGCTAATTATTGTGTTTTTAGTAGACATGGGGTTTCACCATGTTGGCCAGGCTGGTCTTGAACTCCTGACCTTAGGTGATCTACCTGCCTCAGCCTCCCAAAGTGCTGGGATTACAGGCGTGAGCCCCCACTCCTGGCCTCCTCTTTTCTCTTCTTCTCTTTATTGTACAAGCCACAGAGATGCTCCTTCTTGGGAAAGTGAACATTCCAGAGATCTTTAAAGGAAAATATCCCCTTGGAGCTATGTTCCTGCGGACAAGCTCAACGTCTCATTCTATGCAAAAGATTTTATTTTGAAAGTCTTAACCAGAGACTCATCAAGTATCATCAATCCATTCTAAACACTCATTATTGTCAGAAATGTAGAAAAAATAATATTGAAGTAGGAATTAAAGCACCTAGATTTTTTTTTTTTTTCCGAGATAGAGTCTTGCTCTGTCTCCCAGACTGGAGTACGGTGGCGCGATCTCAGTTCACTGCAACCTTCACCTCCCGGGTTCAAGTGATTCTCCTGCCTCAGCCTCCTGAGTAGCTGGGACTACAGGCACCTGCCACCACACCTGGCTAGTTTTTGTATTTTTAATAGAGACGGTTTTAGGCCAGGCTAGTCTCAAACTCCTGACCTTGTGATCCACCTGCCTTGGCTCCCCAAAGTGCTGAGATTACAGGTGTGAGCCACTGCACCCAGTCTAGATTTTATTTTATTTTATTTATTTTTTTAGAGACAACGTCTCACTCTGTCACCCAAGCTAGAATGCAATGGTACAATAGTAGCTCACTGCAGCCTTGAACTCTTGGGCTCAAGTGATCCTCCCCTTGGCCTCCCAAGTAGCTGAGACTACAGGTATACAACATCATGCATGGCAAAATATGTATTTTTAAAATCTTTAGTAGAGATGGGGTCTCACTAGGTTGCCTGGGCTGGTCTTGAACTTCTGATCTCAAGTGGTCCTCCTGCCTCAGCCTTTCAAAATGCTAGGATTACAAATATGATCCACCATGACCAACCTAAACACCTAGATTTTAAACCCAGTTCTCCTACCCACCAGCTGAGTCACTTCACCTTGCTGAACCTCCATTGATTCATGTATGAGAAAATACCCATCCAGGAACCTTTACATATGAGGAGCACAAGTAGATGAGTTCTCCTGTATGAAGGTAACTCATTAGCTACAATGTGCTCTACAAATACAAAGTATTAATGTTTTCCATCCTGAAGTTTGCTCTTGTTGAAAATGTGTCCTGTCCCCTTTGCCCAATATAAACAGAATATTATTGTCGTGTTATCTTTTGCAGGGCCTCTCCACCCTCATAAATCCTGATTATCACTGGTCCTCTGGACAATCCTGCTGGCCTACAAAAAATAATATTAATGTTATTTAATCCTGGATTATCAGGGGTTTTCTGTTTGGCAGATGTTGCTGTTCTGTTGGCCTAAGATTAGACTATTAGGTAAGGTAAATGTTTTGCAGAAGTATTTATTTCTCTAGCAGAGCAGGAATTTGCACAATTAATTCACTGGAAAGATTCACATAGATATATGATATGACAAGATTCTTTTCCATGAAATACTGTCATTACAAAGCAAAGGAGGAAAAGTGGCGATTATTCATTGAGAAGCATTTTGCAGTCCCATTTATGCCATAAGAGGGAAGGGAACCATGTTCTAAATGTTCAGGAGTCTTGTTGGAGACCAAGTCTTTGGCTTCTCAGTGCTGGACTCAACACACTTCTATTCCACAAGGGACTTCATGGCCTTGGTGTGTCCAGTGTCTGCCTGAAAGCACACACATTGGTGTGTATTGGGCAGCAGCTTTTCACTAAAGCACTTACATTTCTTGAGAACAAGAGCAGACAGAATGACAAATTACTTCTGGGGAAAGGGCAGGTATAAGCCAGGCCGCCAGGCCACCCGGCCACCAAGCTGTGTGTCCCAGAATAGCAGGGTCCCAGTGGGCCTTTGCTCTTCCCTCTTTTGCTCCAAGTTCTAGTCTGACCAGAAAACATTCTGGCTGATATACAGGGAAATTTATCAGAGTACCAGATGCAGAAAGTTTCAGCCAAGGCTACTTGCAATCATGGTGTAAGGTGAAGGGGAGGCAAGATCCTTCTTCACATGGCGGCAGGAGAGAGAAGCGCAAGCAGGGAAAATGCCAGACACTTACAAAACCATCCGATCTCATAAAAACTCACTCACTACCATGAGAACAGCATGGGGAAACTACACTCATGATCCAATCACTTTCCTCTCTCCATATGTGAGGATTACAATTTAAGATGAGATTTGGGTGGGGACACAGAGTGGAAGCTCATCACTCCATCTCTACAACCAGAGTGATAGTTGCAAGGGTAAGTAGTTGTGGAGAGAAGACTTTGCACATTCTACTTAAGACAAGTGGAGAGATGTTGTCTGAAGTCTTTCTAGAAGAAGTACTTTGTCTGCCCATGGGAAGAAAACTGTTCCTCTGCCTTCTTCCTTCTTAACTGAGATAACAAAGCAACTTTGGATCGTCTTTATTAAAACATCTCTTTGCAGGTCAGGCATGGTGGCTCGTGCCTGTAATCCCAGCACTTTGGGAAGCAAAGGCGGATAGATCACCTGAGGCCAGGAGTTTGAGACCAGCCTGGCCAACATGGTGAAACCCTGTCTCTACTAAAAATACAAAAATTAGGCATGGTGGTGCATGCCTGTAATCCCAGCTTCCTGGGAGGCTGGGCCATGAGAATTGCTTGAACCCAGGAAGTGGAGGTTGCAGTAAGCCACTGCACTCCAGCCTGGGTGGCAGAGCGAGCCTCTGTCTTAAAAAAAAAACAACAAAAAAAAAACTCTTCACACAGTTTTATTCCAGTTCTGACCTTTATAAAAGATAAATGGGTGGGGTGCTCTGAAAGAAGATGATATTCGACAAGAAAGGCAGCTCAGACATCCTTTCTAGAACGTACTGTGGAATAATAACACCTTGCTCTGAGGGCTGTAGAAAGTCTGTTCTGATGGTTCACCCTTCCTATTTTGTGCTTCTCAGATACTCTGCATTTTCTTTGGTCATCAACTATAAGCGACTTAATTTGCTGAGCAAAGGCTGTCAATTACGCAAAGGCAGGCATCAGCTCTCAATCTTTTCAACCTGATTCATTCCAAAATCTGGCTTTGAGAGGTTTGAATTAATGAGGCATTACCATAGTACAGCCAGTAAGCACCAAAGGCTCAAATTGTGTGCGTGGACGTTTATCGTCAGACATCCAACCTCCTCATGAATCACGAATCTCTGTGCCCTACGGCATGTTCCACTTTGTAGGATACATGAAATTACTGGTCCTAACATCTTCAGATGGCATACAATTTAAAACCCACAGATTATTAATACCAGATTCTCATTTATTGTTTCATCATTCCTGAAATCATGCTGTGTAGTGAAGATTTTCCAGATATCTTCATATTCATGAGGCCACTCTGGGGAGAAACAAAACAAAAACAAAATTATCCTTCAACTACAATTTATGGCACAAGAAAAATCATTTCCTAAAGCATTGGCCTCTGTCACAATTATCCCCTGATGCCTTGTTTTGAATCCAGAGCTTACATGCCATTTCTACTCACCAATGCTGGCGTTTTCTTTACTGGATTGCCCAAATCCTACAAACACAAACAGTATCATGGATTCACCTGAGTTCATTCTTGCCAGAATATACTCTGTTCTCTTATGAATAAAAGACTCAAAATTCCTGAAGAGTGTCCTGTGATTGATGGCTATGTTTAGGTAAAACTTGATGTGGAGTGGGAGGAGTGAAAGGGGCTGGGAGAGGGTCAGACTTGCACTTCTGAAGTATGTAAATGAGAAAAAAATTACTTAGCAGAAAATAGGGGATGGTGCAACTATCCAGAAATTTTGTTTGTTTGTTGTTTTCTTGGAGACAGGGTCTGGCCCCATCTCTCAGGCAGGAATGCAGTGGGGCAATCACAGCTCACTATAACCTGAACTCTAGGACTCAAGCCATTCTCCCACCTCAGCCTCCCAAGTAGCTGGGACAGCAGTTGCATGCCACCATGCCCTGCTAGTTTCTTTAAACTTTTTTTTTTTTTTTTTGAGACGGAGTTTCGCCGTTGTTACCCAGACTGGAGTGCAATGGCACGATCTCGGCTCACCGCCTGCTGGGTTCAAGCAATTCTCCTGCCTCACCCTCCTGAGTAGCTGGGATTACAGGCACGCACCACCATGCCCAGCTAATTTTTGTATTTTTAGTAGAGACAGGGTTTCACCTCATTGACCAGGATGGTCTCAATCTCTTGACCTTGTGATCTACCCGCCTCAGCCTCCCAAAGTGCTGGGATTATAGGTGTGAGCCACCACACCAGACCTCTTTAAACTTTTTACAGAGACGGTGTCTCTCTGTGTTGCCCAGGCTGGTCTCTAACACATGGCTGCAAGCAATCCTCCTGCCTCAGCTTCCCAAAGAGTTGGGATTATAAGCACGAGTCTCCGTGCCCAGCCCTGAACTTTTTTTTTTTTTAATTCAAAATTGACTGGGCACGATGGCTCACACCTGTAATCTCAGCACTTTGGGAGGCTAAGGCGGGTGGATCCTTTGAGGTCAGAAATTCAAGAACATCGTGGCTCACATGGTGAAACCCTGTCTCTACTAAAAATACAAAATTAGCCAGGCGTGGTGGCACATGCCCTGTAATTTCAGCTACTCGGGAGGCTGAAGCAGGAGAATCACTTAAACCTGGGAGGCGGAGGTTGCAATGGACTGAGATTGTGCCACTGTACTCCAGCCTGGGTGACCCAGTGATACTCCGTCTCAAAAAAAAAAAAAATTCCACCATGAAATATTGGTGAAAGAGCATGCCAAGCCTGAAGTCAATGAGATGATAGAAGCATCTTTTGGTCAATTTTGTAGGATTCCTAAATGTCCTAAGTCCAAAGTTCCCAATATAATATCAATCTGTTTTCTTCTTACCATCCTTTATCAGACAAGATTGGGTTCATTTTCAGAGTGGTATGGCCATGATTTAAAAGTCCTGCTGTTATCGTCATTTGGGTTAATTTGGTTCTGGGAAGAGATAGGAGGAAAGAGAAAAAGTTACACTCTATCAGTCTTAAAAGTCAATATATGAATCATATTTAACGTCACATTTTCCACTTTATGGTATTCTACAGAAATCCATTAAATTTCCACTTAGTCCTAGGAGATAATGCCACTATCTTACAAGTTTAACTTTCTCTTATGCCAAGTATTTAATGACCCAACATACAGTGCTGCAAAATTCTTTCTTGGCTAGACTTTGAACCCAGCCATTGCATCTGCCTTTAACAGACTGTCAGTCTGGCAAGAACACCCACTACGTGAAGAGCTGCTACTGATCCCAGGAATAATCAGTTCACAGCCTGGCCTGTGTCAGGGTTGGCAACACAGGTGAGTGGCAATATGCACAAATTAGACACGATTAATAGGTGGTTTCCAACCTCTTTTCCATTGGCCCAAGTAAAGGTAAGCCAAGCGCCCAACAATTTTGCCATCTATAAATTGGAATCTACCACACAAGCAAACCAGCTTTTCCAGAGGATTCAGCGGGAAGGCAAGAAGTTAAATTCTTAAATTATGATTGCTTTTTGCAAAGCATGATACTGTATAAATACCAAAAATATTACAGGCCGGACGAAGTGGCTCATGCCTGGAATCACAGCACTTTAGGAGGCTGAAGTGGGATGATCGTTTGAGCTCAGGAGCTCAAGACCAGCCTGGGCAACATAATAAGATCTCATCTCTACTAAAAATTATTAAACTTAGCCAGATGTGGTGGTATATGCCTGTAGTTCCAGCTACTCGGGAGGCTGAAGCAGGAGGATCTCTTGAGCCAGGGAGGTCGAGGCTGCAATGAGCTATGATTGTGCCACTACACTCCAGCCTGAACAACAGAGCAAGACCTTGTCTCAAAAAAACAAACAAACAAAAACACCCAAAAAGCAAAAACAAAACATTACTTTGTATGGGGGGAAAATGGAAGGATTTATGTATTTTCTCATCACAGTTGAGAATGTGAATTAATACAGCTGTATCATAGAGAATCCATTGTATCTTATATATACACTATATCACTTCTTTGGATTTTCAATTTACTAGGTCAAAAATTTCCCTTAACAGCAACAATAAAAAATAATATGTGTAGATGTTTCTCATGGTGGGAGGTGGGAATTAATTCTTCAAGCATCAAAAAGGAACCGTAATGTTGTAGAAATGTGTCCAAGTTCAACAACTTGGAAAATTAACTTATGTGCCTGGATTGTATTGACTTATCTGCTGTTCCTTCTCTAGAACGAGTTAGAAACACTCGAGATTTTGCAAATAAGGAACCCATCTGTCCATTTGGTCATCAAGAAGTTGGGGGTCTCTTTCAAGTTTTCTGAGAAAAGTCATTTCAACGCTCTGAAAAAGTGCCCCCAGTACTTTCACAAGAAATTCCAAGGTCATTCAGCCTGGGCCAAAGGGAAAAGAAAGTTATTTTTTAATTAAGAAATCTATGCAAAAGCGAAATGCCTTTGGTGTAAGTCCTCTCCGAGTCGCTTAGAGACATGAGGAAATCTGCTGGAGCTAAGCTATCTTTAATAACACCAATTCTTCTGCGAGCCCCTCCCAGGTGGGCTTGCATCTAGGCCCCCCAGCGGGAGGCACCTCTGCGGAATTGAACATGGACCTCACGAGGCTGAGTCGTCTGCAGCCAGGAGACGACATCCCTGCGGCTCCTGGAGCCACGCGTTACCGGCGCGCACTTACACCTGGCACCGGAATGGGCGGTGAGTTGAGCCGCCTGGAGGATCGCACCTGGGCGGGGACACCACGCGCTGTTGTTAGCTGAAGCTGCCTCAGCATTTCATGTTCTTGATCACATTTCACCGGGATTTCACTCCCGCCCGGGCACCGTCTTTCGGCTGCTGCTGGTGGGACGCGTGCATCCAGGGCTCAGTGAACCCAGAGCTAGGCGACGATGTGATCCAGGGCGGCGAGGCCTCGGGGGACAGAGGGGCCCGGCCCTCGGAAGGGGACGCCCGGGCGTGCGCCATCGCGACGCGGAGAGGTTTCTATTTCCAGCCGGTCTGACCAGAGGCTGAGTTTGCCACATCAGTGGCGGCCGGCCTGGGAAAGTTTCTCTAAAATAGCCTCCCACTTGTGCTCAACATGAAGCTGAACCCATTAATTTAAAACACAGTTCTGCGCTTCCTCCCCGCCGCTGCTTTCGCGACCGACGCTGCCCGAGCAGAACAAACCCTTGCATTTGGAGGCCCGCGCGGCTCCGCAGCGCTGAGCTAGTTCGTCCAAATAGCTTCCATTTCCGTGGCTCTCATTACAGGGAGACAGCCCCACGCAAACAGACAGCCCTGCTCTTTTAAACACAGCAATTTGGGCTCGTCTGCTGCTCCCTTCTCTCTTTTTTCTTTCTTTCTTTTTTTTTTTTTTAATCATTTGGACTGTAAAGTAATTAGAGGGATAGACATTCCCAAAATAAGATCAACAACTGAGCTTTATAATTCTAACATGAGCACACGTATCATTTCAGGCTCTCCCAGGACCCCTAGGTAGGTATGATTTTAATAAAGCGTTTTGCATACATTTTCTAATTACCAATGTTGACCTTGGATTTTTTTTTTTTTTTTTTGAACTTGCAAGCTCGCAGTGCCACAGAGGGTGGGCTTCATCCTCTCTGTCACCGCCAGGCCTCTCTTCTCGCTCCCATCCTCAGCGTTTCCCACCGCTGAGCACAACCCGGGTTTGTTCTTTCCCTATCAAAGCGCTGCGCCAGGAAAGGAAAATAGTGTTTTGAGGGGGAAGAGTAGGAGTGGTAATTATATTCCTAATCACATGTAATTTAAGAGAAAATGAGTAGATTGGAGAGGCTATTTAGCTCTTGACTCCGTGTAATTCCACAGTCTGGGACCACAGGCACCCCACTGTCACCTGGGTGTCTTTCAAAGCCACCCTAGGCTCAGCAGCCAAACGGTTAATTACAAGGGAGAAGCTGCTTTCCAACAACTGTAGCTCTGACTGTGGAACACTGTCATTAGACAGCAATGGTAGCCTCTGCCCTAAAGCCAGCGCCTTCCTCAAACTGTTCCCCTGGGTTCTTTGCCCCACTTCCCCAGTGGGAAGGGCACCAGGCATGTACAAATGCAGGACAACAAACACTGAGGCTGCACTCCATTTAACATACCAGTATTGTGCTCAGTACGTTATATATGTAACTCATGTCATTTGCACAATTCAATTAATGAAAAAATGAATAATTATTGAGCAAAAGCTACTCACCTGGGTAACACTGTGCAAAGAGCCACATATGTTAGTTCATCTGTGAAACAAACACTGACTCAAGATTGAATGAGCTAATAGATACTAATGACCGGGTGTGGTGACTCATGCCTGTAATCCCAGCACTCTGGGAGGCTGAGGTGGGCAGATCACTTGAGCCCAGGAGTTCAAGACAAGCCACGGGCAAAGGGCGAAACCCCATCTCTATAAAAAACTTAAAAATTAGCCTGGCTTGGTGGTGCATGCCTGTAGTCCCAGCCACTTAGGAGGCTGAGGTGGCAGATCACTTGAGCCCAGAAGTTTGAAGCTTCAATGAGCTGTGATCACACCACTGCACTCCAGCCTGGGCAACAGAGCAAGACCTTGTCTCAAAAAAATAATAATAATAAAATGAAATAAAATTAATAATAATGATAATAAAATCCTGAACACTGCCTGGCACAGTAGGTGATCAGCAAATGTTAGATATTAATACTTAAAATTCAAACCGGAGCACCATAGTGAGAGTCTGTCTATTTTTTTTTTATATGTATTTATTTATTGTTTTTGAGATGGAGTCTTGCTCTGTCACCCAGGCTGGAGTGCAATGCCACAATCTCAGCTTGCTGCAGTCTCCACTTCCTGAGTTCAAGCAATTCTCCTGTCTCAGCCTCCCCAGTAGCTGGGACTACAGGCACCTGCCTCCACGCCCGGCTAATTTTTTTGTATTTTTAGTAGAGTTGGGGTTTTACTATATTGGTCAGGCTGGTCTCGAACTTCTGACCTCAAATGATCCACCTGCTTTGGCCTCCCAAAGGAGACTCTGTCTCTTAAAAAATTTTAAATTAGGTAGGCATGGCGGTGCACACCTGTAGTTCCAGCTACTCAGGAGGCTGAGGCAGGAGAATCACTGGAGTCCAGGAGTTTGAGACTATAGGGACCTATGATCGCACTATTGCACTCCAGCCTGGACAACAGAGGGAGACCTGTCTGTCTCAAAAAAAAAAAAAAAAAAAAAAAAGCTTAAAATTTTGTGCATATGAGTTGTGTGTCCAGTATTTTACATTCATCTTATTCATCTTATTTCATATTTATAGTAATACCACAATGGAGCCTATTCTTGTTCACATTTCATCAAAAACTGAGAATGAAAGAAATTTTAAAAATGTGCCCAAGGTCACACAGCCAGTAACAGAAGTGGGATTTAAACTCAGGAAACGTGACTCAGCAGCCTGTTATTTAATCAAAACATTCCTCTCTTTCTCTCCCTCCCTACCCCTTCCTCTGTCTTATCTTGTGCCTATAAATATATGTATAATGTTGTACGTCTCAATAATAAACCTCATATAAACGATCTGTTGTTAGAACCTAAGGATTATTACTTTCCCTCAAAGTGATGTATTGCATCTCACAATTTATATAGCTGGGGAGCGTGATTGACACAGAGTTTTATCGCAAGTTATGTTTTATGCAGGTTGTCTTATCTCCAAAACTGAACTCTAAGGTCCTCTAGTATCACACTATCTCAATTCAGCTTTTACCCCCCACGGCTTGCCCTTTAGTGTCAGAAGGAGTGCAATAGATAGCATGCGTTAGTTAAGTTCAAAATGAATTGACAAATACATATTGAGTGCCAATAGAAGGTATTATTCACCATGTTCTTTTTATCCAAAGAATTGTAACATACCTAGAAATTAAAAGTAAAGATAACTTCACAATATCTTTGCCACATGGTGTCAATGTCAGAGGCTCTCAAAAAGAAAATTTTAAAAGTCCGAGTGCCGTGGCTCATGCCTGTGATCCCAGCACTTTGGGAGGCCAAGGTGGGTGGATCATGAGGTCAGGAGTTTGAGGTCTGCCTGACCAACATGGTGAAACCCTTCCTCTACTAAAAATATAAAAATTGTCTGGGCGTGGTGGTGCACTCCTGTAACCCCAGCTACTCAGGAGGCTGAGGCAGGAGAATTGCTTGAACCTGTGAGGTGGAGGTTGCAGCGAGCCAACATCACGCCACTGCACTCCAGCCTGGGTGACAGAGTGCAACTCCATGTCAAAAAAAAAAAAAAAAAATTTAATGTTTGAATTAAATGATGAAAGTTATTTCTTTTTTTAAATAGCATCTCATCCTGTCACCCAGACTGGAGTGCAGTGGCATGAACACAGCTCACTGCAGTTTTCAGTCTCCTGGGTTCAAGCAATTCTCCCACCTCAGCCTCCCGAGTAGCAGGAGCCACAAGTATGTGCCACCATGCTCAACTAATTTTTTAGCTTTCTGTAAAGACGGGGTCTCACCATGTTGACCAGGCTGGTCTCAACTTTTAGGCTCAAGTTAATCTGCCCTCTTTTCAGCCTCCCAAAGCGCTGGGATTACAGGTGTGAGTCACCGTACCAGGTCAATAATTTCTTAGAGTAAGTAATATGGGGCAGAAGACATAATGGTCCAATGACTTTTCAATTACAAATAGTTGCCAAAAGTGGTATCCACAGCCATACTTTATAAGTGAAATTTTGTTAACCGATTTATATAAACATAAATGCAGAAAGGGGAGCAATATGTATTTGGCATTGCCCTGGAATATTATAGTGGTTAAAAATAAGGGAAAATTATTATGGTAAAAATAAGGACCTATTTATTCAGTATGTAAGTACTGATTATCATGCCTTCCACATTGAAGATGATACAAAGAAGTTTAAGAAATTGACTGGTCACGGTGCTGCATGCCTGTAATCCCAGCACTTTCAGAGGCCAAGGAGGAAGGATCAGTTGAGCCCAGGAGTCTGAGACCAGCCTGGGCAACACAGAGAGACCCTGTCTCTACAAAAAATAAAATTGGAGGCCAGGTACAGTGGCTCATGCCTGTAATCTCAGCACTTTCAGACGCCAAGGTGGGCAGATCACCTGTGGTCAAGAGTTTATTAAGACAAGCCTGGCCAACATGACAAAACCCTGTCTCTACTAAAAAATACAAAAATTAGCAAGGAATGGTAATGCACACCTGTAATCCTAGCTACTCAGGAAGCTGAGCCACGAGAATCACTTGAACTCCGAAAGCAGAGATTTCAGTGAGCTGAGCTCACACTACTGCACTCCAGCCTGGGCGTCAGAGCAAGACTCCATGTCAAATAAAATAATAAAATAAAAAAGGCTAGCCATGGTGGCTCACACCTATGGTCCTAACTACTAGGGAGACTGAGGTGGGAGGATTGCTTGAGCTCTGGAGTTTGAGATTATGGTGAGCTGTGTTCTTGCCACTGCACTCTAGCTGGGCAAGAGAACAAACACCCATCTCAAAAAAAAAAAAAAAAAAAAAAGGGGAAAAATTAGCTAGCACAGTAGTATGTGCCTATAGTCCCAGCTACTCAGGAGGCTGAGGTGGGAGGATCCATTGAGCCTAGGAGTTGGAGGCTGCAATGGGCTATGATGACACCAGTGCATATCAGCTTAGGCAACAGAGATCCTGTCTAAAAAAGAAAAAAAAAAAAACACAAAGAAGAAAGTAGAAAGAGAGAGAGAAGAAAAGAAAGAAAGAAGAGAAGAGAAGGAGGAGGAAGGAAGGGAGGGAGGGAGAGAGGGAAGGAGGGGAAAAGTAGGGAAAAAAGTGAATAAGACACTGGCCATGAGCTTGGGGAACTCAGAGTCCCATTGGAGAGGTGAACATGTAAATAAACAATGATAACACAACATGGTAAGTGCCAATAACAGCTAGAAACATAGAAACAGAATGTCTCAAAAGCCCTTGAGATAAGTCAAGAAACAGCAAAAGAAGTGACATTTTAACAAGGCCTAGAAGGCACTATAGCAGTTGGCCAGGTAGAGCAGGAGAAGAGCCTTCCACACAGATAGCGATGTGAACTCACGACAAAGCATGCTCATTAAATGATGCTGTTCATCACTTACTGCAGCAACTTAGGGAGCAGGAAGGACAAATATCATCCCTGTTTTACAAAGATAGAAGCTGAGGCTCAGAGCATTTCACTTTCCTAAAAATTAGTAGTTATAGCTCATTTCACATCAAGGCCATTTCCCATTTGTCTAAGACAGACAATCGCCCCTGAAAAGTGGAGGAAATATTGCTACTTTCAGGAGCATTTTACTTGTTTTAAAATTGGAAACTGGCAATGATGGAAGGAGTGGTGAACCTTCACAATTTTAAGAGGCTTAATGATGTATGGCTGCAGATTGAGAGTCAAAGGGTCCTCGTTGGATGTGACAGCTGTGTCCTCTTTCATTCCAGGTGTCATAAAAGAAGAAAAGACCAATTCATCAACAGTGCTTTCAGGGTGGGCTCAGTAGCTCACAGCTGTAATCCCAGCACTTTGAGAGACCAAGGTGGAAGTATTGCTTGAGGCTAGAAGTTTGAGATAAGCCTGGCCAACATAGCAAGACCTCCATCTCTATAAAACAAGACAAAAGAAAAAAGACAAAAAAAAAAAAAAAAAAAAAAAAGGATTGCTTTCATTTTCCCAGAAGGGGCTGCACTTTGAAATAAAAAGTAGTTTGAATTCCATGCCTGTCTTAGTCCATTTTGTGTTGCTACAGCAGAATACCTGGGTAATTTACCATGAACAGAAATTTATGTTCTCACAGTTCTGGAGGCTGGGAAGTCCAAGATCAAGGCTCTGGCATCTGGTGAGGGCTTTCTTGCTGTGTCACCCCATGGAGGAAGGCAGAAGGTCAAGAAGGGGTGGGGAGGGACAAACTCACCCTTTATAAGAAACCAACTCCCAGTTGGGCAAGGTGACCCACGCCTGCAATCCCAACACTTTGGGAGGCTGAGGTGGGTGGATCACGAGGTCATGAGTTTGAGACCATACTGGCCAGCACGGTGAAACCCCATCTCTACTAAAAATACAAAAATTAGCTGAGGGTGGTGGCAAGTGCCTGTATTTCCAGATACTCGAGAGGTTGAGGCAGGAGAATTGCTGGAACCAGGGAGGCAGAAGATGCAGTGAGCCAAGATTGTGCCACTGCACTCCAGCCTGGATAAATAAATAGGAACCAACTCCCACAATAAAAGCATTAATTCACCCGTGAGGGCAGTGCCCCCGTGAACCAAACACCCCTCATTAGGCTCCACCTCTCAGCAACCCGGCATTGAGGATCAAGTCCACAGCACAAGAACTTT